CTCTGACAGAGTTGAGACAGACAGCTACGACAGAGCGTGTGATAGGCAGATAAGCAAAAGAACGCTTGATCGAAGCACTGCTGCTCTCCTTTTATAAGCTGATTTTTTTAAATGGGGTTCAGTTCAGAGGAAGTGCATTGGTCAAAACCGGGTTGCTCCCGGATGTCCGCAACGCGGACGCCCTTTTCCAAAGGGCAGCCTACCTGGCTCCCAGACAGGATGCGCCTGGACATCTACTGCCCAGCAGTTCAGAGCGCCGGTTGTTTGGCTTGATCAAAATGGCAAACCGGATGCAGGCATGCTTCTCAAGCAATGACACCTCACACCACCTGCCCCAGCCTTAAGGATTCCAATGCTTGATCGAAGCACTGCTGCTCTCCTTTGTATTTCCGAAAGCATCGCGGTGTCAAATTCATAGAGCCAAGCGCATGGAGCGCCGTGCATAGAGCCGTGCAGTGCATAGAGCCAAGTGCATAGAGCCAAGCGCAAATAGAGCCAAGTGCACAGAGCCGAGTGCGTAGAGCCAAGTGCGTGGAGCGAAGCGCATGTAGCCAAATGCATAGAGCCGTGCAGAGCCAAGTGCATAGAGCCAAATGCACAGAGCCAAGTGCACAGAGCCGAGTGCGTAGAGCCGAGTGCATAGAGCCAAGTGCATGGAGCCAAGCACATAGAGCCAAGTGCAATGTGAGTTAAGTTTAGCTTTCTGGGACGCCGGGACGGGACTTTGATCGTCGATCGGGATTGCGACCCTCTGCGGGGATCGGCGTGGTCGAGGTGCAAAAACTCAAGGATTTTTGCGATTTATGATCTGCCCGCGCGACCCTCTGCAGGGATCGGCGTGGTCGAGGTACAAAAACTCGAGGTTTTTTTCCATTTCTCATCTGGCCGCACGACCCTCTGCGGGGATCGGCGTGGTCGAGGCGAGGCTTTTTGCGAACCTGGTCGAGGTGCAAAAACTCAAAATTGTTTTGCGTTTTTGCGGTGCGCGGATGAACCCTCTGCGGGGATCGGCGTGGTCGAGGTACAAAAACTCGAGGTTTTTTTTGATTTGGCCGCGCGACCCTCTGCGCGGATCGGCGTGGTCGAGGCGCAAAAGCTCAAGGTTGTGTGGATCGTGCGTGCTCCGGCTCAAGCAAAGAAGCCGTAGTATGTCCTGGCGGCTCCGACCGGAAAATCGCAACCCTGAAGCGCAGACGTATAGTGCGCGGAGCACCTCCACAGCTCATGAGCATCTTGCGCATTTACACAAGCGCCGAGCGTCTTGCGAGAGAAACTTTTGCACAGAGCAACACAGAACAGCTTGAAGACAGGTGTCGAGCCACTGCAGAGAGCAACTTGCGCGCAGCAGCCTGGAACAATGCAGCTTGCGCAGACACTGCCACGTTTCCTCTCGTAGGACAATGAGATGGAGCTCTCATGTGACCATACACATTGAGCATCGCCGCGCGCAGACACGCTCGCCGCAGCGATGTAAAAATGTGTTTTCGCGGCTGGAAGAGCGCTTGGGGAAAAATGCTTTTGGGTCAATCGTCCTCTAGTAAGCTGATGTGTCCACGGGGTGCGCCTCCGCATTCACGGACTCCCGGTCTAATTTGTTAAATGGGGTTCAGTTCAAAGGAAGTGCGTTGGTCAAAACCGGCTGTCCGCAACACGGACGCGATTTTCCAAAGGGCAGCCTACCTGGCTCCAACGCACTACACACCCCAATGCACTCAGAAGAACTGGAAAATCCGCTTGAAGAGGAATACCGAGAGCACGGTGGGATCGTAATGCCAATGCCGTCACTCCAGTTGTCTTTGGACGCCAGTTGTCTTTGGACGCGACCCACTCAAAGTACACGGCCAACGACTGGATCCCGAAAAGGAGACAGCGGACCTGTCCGGCCATGTTGCTCCGCCCTCGGATGAGCGCCATCAAAGCCGGCGACATGATCCACAAGCCAGATGCCACAAGAACCCTTCAAGATGGACGCAAAGTGGACGAGGGTCACCAAGACGCTTATGTCGAAAAGGGCCGACAGTGGCCAAGCGCTTGCCGCTGGGCACACCAAAAGCGCCCCGGACAAGTCCTGGCAGGGCTCATCCTGGGCAGCATCAGAGGTCGAGGATATATGCTCAATCATCGACCCGCCAAGTCTCGCACCGCATGGACGTTGCGCTGGCAATGCTTGGTATCGTTGAGGCCAGAGCGAAAAACCTTCCCCCTGCATCCAGTGAAAAGGAAACTCAGACAGCCATAAAGCTTGGGCGCCTGCCCTGATATTGGGCGAACCCAAAACCTAAACACCGGATTTTGGGACATGCTGAGGGTCCGGTAGCCATTTGTTCATGCTTAGCCTCGGCGAATGGTGATCCCACCTGAAGCGCCAGGTCACAGTAGAAGGACTGAGCGGATCCCTTGTCAAAAGTCCAATCCTGCACAGCAAAGAGACGCCTGCATGCCGCCCATTCAATAGCCCGAACAACTGACCGAAGTCGGGGAGCAGTCACCTGGCAGTGGTAGTAGGCCACAATGGCCGCCCAACTTTGCTCGGCAACCATGCAAACATGGCGGTACCGGTCCGGCAAGTCCTCACCGCCGCACGCCGTCTTGCCCATTGCCAAGAGAAGCAAAGAGATGCCACATCCTCTCAGCCCAGGCAGACCGCGCAGCCAGATGGAACCAATGCCTGCGGCCAGACGGGCCACAGGGGGCTCAGGGTTGCTCAAGTGGCCCGCTCGTTGCCAGCGCTCGGCCTTCTGGCTGAAGGCCACGTCAAACTCCGCACCGGCCACAGGCAAAGATGGAGATGAGGACATAGTCGGAGTCGCTTGCTGGTGCGGCATACTATGAACTGATCCGTCCAGTCCCCCTGGCACAATGGGGCAAATTCTGCGAAAACTGTAGGACCGATCGCCGGCCGGGAACAGGTCCGTGCCAGAAAGCATGGTCCCGAGGCACCACCGCCCAATGGAACCCACCACGCCGATGGGACTGCTGGTGTCCGCGCTGGCAACGCGCGATCGCTGAAGGTGACGATAGCGCTGGACACCAAAAACCATGCTCCAACACAACAAAGCCGCGTCAAGCTGGTGGACCATGGCTGGCTCCAAGACCGGCGCCTGCAAGGCCCCAAGCCCTCAAATCTTTCCATGTAGCCAACGCGGCCCTGACCGTGCCGCAGACACCCCACAATACGCCGGATGTTGCTGACTCGCCTCCAGCCACCAAAGATGAACCCTTCAGCACGAGGCCGAGCATCTGGCGAAGGTAGTTCATGCCAGGAGCCACAGCAGGACACCAGGCCTCCATTCGTGGCTTCCACCTGTGCCATGAGCATGGCACTGGAGGAAAAATTCAGAGAGCTTTGAAGCCAAAGCCGGACTGGTCCTGGACCGGCTATTTTGGCTTGGCAAACCGGACGCAGGCATGCTTCTCAAGCAATGACACCTCACACCACCTGCCCCAGCCATAAGGATTCCAACGAATTTCGCGGTCCGAGATTCGTTTTTTCTTCTCTCTTTTTTCCCCGCGCGTGTCTACAACGTCTGCCGCGATGCCAGAACGTTTTTTGAGGTCCGAATTCGTGAATCAACGAATTTCGGACCGCGAAATTCGTTTACTCGTGCGTTTGTACAGGAATCCACAGAAGCACCGCCAAATATGATCCGAAACGCGCGATAAAATGAATTTCGGACGGCAAATTATTTGTTCGCACGTTTCTGCAAAGTCTGCCGCAGGAAGCAAAAGAACTGCCGAGTATGATACCACAACACCTCCGAAACGAGCGGAAAAATGAATTTCAGGCTCTGCAAAAGGCTGCCACGGGAATCCAAAGAACAGAACACTTTTCGAGGTCTGCAACGCGCGCAAACGCAGTCTGAAATTTGTTTTTTTTCGCGCTTCTCTACAACGTCAGCCGCGGGAATCAGAAGGACCCCGGCACATGACGCCAGAACAAATTTCGAGGTCCGAAACGTGGCGGCCCGAAGTTCGTTTTGTCGCGCGTTTCTACAAAGTCTGGCGCGCGAGAGGGCGAAGTACACTTCGATAGCGCGAATGGGCCCAATGCACTGGGCGGCATCGTTTCGGAATCGCGCAGGTATCGTTTGGGATCGTTCTCAGCGCAGTACAAGAGGAACACACGAAGTACACTTTGGCAGCTCAGCTTAAATATCGCAGCTTTCATTAATAGTAGAGTGCACGAGCCGCTTCAATTCAAGCATGACAACTTTTCAGTACACCTGTAGTACACAAGTAGGGCTTCATCCCATGATCTTCCGCGGCCACAGCGCCGTAACACCGAATAAGCTTTCGTATTGAGCCGTTACAAAAAAACTGCCATGAGGGGTTTTGGTCGATCTTCATATACCTACACATACGTGTGTACTTCCCGTTTAAATCTTGCCAAATCATTTGATTATTCATATTTACCACACTTTACAGCATTGCAGAATTTGCGCGCGTGCAGCTGCCCGATGCCAGCATGCTCCGACGTTCGCTGTTGGAAGTAAGCTGCAAAGACTTTAACAATTCTACAAGTAAAATGCCTTCATTCTTGCAAGCCTGCTGAGAGCGTGGCAGCTGGCGGACCTTCGGCCATTGCAAGTTGGTCGGTTCACTTTGGCTCTCGCACTTACACAATATCTGCAATTCGAGGGTGAAAATCTGTAAGTGTGCTCGTGTACATATGTCTGTACATGTACTGTACACGTATCCATTGAGCATGTACGCGTCTATCTGTCCATCTATTTGTATCTATGCACCAATGTATCTGTGTATCTTTTTGTCTATGTAACTACGTATCTGTGTATCTATGTGTGTATGTTTGTACGTAAGAATATGAGTGTGCATGCATGTGTGCATATGTATAGACACACATGAATGTTTGTAAGCGTGGGTCTATGTATGTTGCGAGACCGCAAAATATGCATACATGTGTATGGAGAAAGTGGTACATGCCTCCCATTGAAGCTTTTCCCGAATCAATTGCACTTGTGGTCAAGTCGTGGAAAGCATCATGACGCGGATTCTTTCTGGAGCCAAAACCAGATGGCAAGGCTCAGAAATCAGAGATTGCGCGGCATCGCGCCCATGCTCACACTGGGGCAAACTGCAGCAGGCGTACCAGAGACAATTTGTTTAGCGCTTCCCAAGCGGCTCGGAATCTGACAAAAGCTCAACCTCGCCGGCAGTTGAAGCTTAAAGTGGCCATTGCACCAGCATGATTTCAGCAATGGCCTCGATTGATTCACCGCTGATCTTGCCCCCATCGAAGTCATTCAACAAAGCTTGCGCATCCTGCACGCAAGCTCTTCAGTTGGCAAAAATGAACGATCCAGAACTGCCTCATGTTTCCTTGAACAATCGCGACAGTCACATCAATAGGCTCTACGCGCGCCAAACCTTGTCGCCTGCATGGTTTTGATGTGGAACGAGCATCCAAGCCTCGGCTTTTTCGAAGGCCAACCAGGCGGTACGCTCCTGCAAGTGGAAAGGAGCTGCAAGACCAATCAGAGCCAGGGAATTGACCAATGTGGAGGTCGTCGGACCAGGTGACAAAAAATTTCACTTCAGGCCATTTCAGGGTTGGTAATCTGCCTGTGGTGTCTCTTGTCCCCGCCAAAGAAAAAGGGGTGGGCCCAAAGTTCAGCATGAGCGTAACTATATCAGGCTCGCTTGCGTCAAGTGTGGACACAAGCCGGGAAAATTTGTACTTGGCGCCGACACAACAACAAAGTTCAAGCACGTGCTTGGGTTGTTCCCTGACATCCAAACTCGAACACGCAGGGGCCGCCAAAGCGAGTCAGCCTTCACTGCTCGCAGCAGCGTCAACCCAAGCAACGCAACATTCAATCCTCTCGGAGGGAAGATTCGAGCAACGGTAGCAAATTCACGCAGCAGCTTTCGGCCTCGTCGATGTGTCCATCAATGACGGGGCCGGTGGCCTTTTCCAAGAGCTCCTCATACATTTGCAACATGTTTGTAGCGAGGCTGATGCCAAGCACGCACGAACATTGTTTGGGGCATGAGGGCAATCAGCTCAATCCTTCAAGTGCTTGTACTCAAGGCTGGCTGGCACGTTTCTTACCTTGTCAAACGGCGGTGAACTCAGGCGTCACAGTCGTTGCGTAGAACAAATGCTTGCCTGCCTTGGCCTTCCTCTTTGTCTGTTTCTTCACATGACGCCTAAGCTGGCTGTCGGCGGACTACTGCAAACACGAGACAGCACAGCTTTCATCAGCTTTCAAGGTATTTTCGCTTTGTGGGAAAATTGAAGCAGGCATTACACCTCAGATTGGCCACATGCCACAATTGTTTGCTTCACATTGCATGTCCCAAACGCTTTTGTAGGCATGTGCTTTGTGGTTTCACGCTTGTTCGTTTGCCAAGTTTGCTGCTAACAATAAGAAAGTACTGCTGGGTGAGTCTCTCGGGCTTTGTGGGACATTTACTCAATCCCATGCTGAGCGAACGAACCTCACGTGAGTTGCACGCAAAGCTGACTGCCTCCGCCTGACTGCTGCGCTTGTGGTCAAAAAGAAGGTTTGACCATCTCCAGTATCCTCATTCAAAGTTGCATTTCTGGACAAGCGCAGACAAAATTGCACGAAAGGCATGGCCTCCTTGATAGCTGGGTCTGGCTCCCCAGCCTTGTAAGCGCAGAAAGTGTGTGTGACTCAAGAAAAACATGTCAGGGACTTCTTTGCAAGTGGTTCGCACTTGCGTGTGCAGAATCCTTGTCAATCATGAACATAAACTGCAATATAACGTGTGCCTGCACGCCCGTGGCTCCTGCGTGTATGGCGCGTGTGCGTGCGTGTGCGCGTGCGTGTGCGCGTGCGTGTGCGTGCGCGTGTGCGTGTGCGTGTGCTTGTCGTGCGCCTGTGCGTGTGCGTGTGCATGTGCGTGCGCGTGTGCATGGGCGTGTGCGTGCGCGTGTGCGTGTGCGTGTGCGTGTGCGTGTGCATGGCACGTGCGCGCGTGCGCGTGCGCGTGCTGGTGCGCGTGCGCGTGCGCGCTTGCGCGTGCGCGGGCGGAGGCACGCGCGCACGCCTGCGCGCGCCTGCGCGCGCCTGTGCGCGCCTGCGCGCGCCTGTGCGCCTCTGTGCGCCTGTGCGCGCGCCTGCGCACGCCTGTGCGCCTTTGTGCGCCTCTGTGCGCCTCTGTGCGCCTCGGTGCGCCTCGTTGCGCTTCGGTGCGCCTCAAGGATCAGCCCTGTGCGCCCCGTGCGCCCCTGTGCTCCCCTGTGCCGACCACTGATCGTCCACTGTGCCTGTGCCGCCTCTGTGCGCCTCTGACTCTGTGTCCGC